TACAACATTATTAATTTTAACGAGATCACAAAAAATTAATTACTATTTAATATTACGTAACAATGTTAGTCGTCAACAAACTAAAAAACATTTAAATAACACCCAATTATTCTTATTAATAACTTTTTCCAAGAACCTCCCGATATCTTAATTCGAGGAAAAGTTAATTTGAAACGCCTAAAATTAAATATTATGAATGTTTCCATATTTTTATGGAAATTCAAGCGTAAATGATTAAATTGTGCTACTTTTGGCTCTAAGTAGGGTCCCATTTATTTAATGGCGTCCTATTAGGCATAGGATTTCGTTGATGACTTTTTTTAACACCGTTATAAATTTATTTCGCCGTACTTTTGGATTCATTTCCTAAAAAGTGGCACCCGTTCGTGAATCGCATGCCATTTTTTTAATGACATTAGACGGTAAATGAGCTGGCAGATTTCTCGGTGGTATCAAATTGGCCCCCAACACCAAAAGAGTTTATGAATGTGATACAGGCCTTTTGGATATTAGTGTTGCAGAGATTTAGGAATTGGGGCAGCGAAGCGTATTTTCGTTATACTCACACTTATATATTTTTTTAAATTAAGTACTTATTCAATTTTGGTATTTATTACCGGGACAGGAAAATCGATTTTATATTAAAATAACCAAATCTTATTCATATTCCTACTTATATCTAATACATTATATAAAAAATAGCAAACTTCTCCATAAAAACAAATCAATCGCAGCACCATTCTAATTATAATTTATGAACGATTACATAAATATTTATTTATTTTTATTATCTTTTATATTTAGAATACTCGTATTGGCTTTGATCCAAACGGGCACATCTGGGATCAATTTAAACAATGTATGTACATAGCATATATAAAATCCGATTGATTGACATAGGTTATATCATATATCATCGATTTTTATGACTAAACAATAAATCATGATGACGTTTATGTGAAGCTGTAAATGATTTTTTATTTTATGACATGATATCATACGTATTTTTATATAGGTAGTTACTACCATGAGACATACAAAATATATTGAAAACCACGAATAAGTCACGTACATTAACTGAAAAAGGCTACTAGTTTCGAGACACATCGCGGAGCTTTCATGAGTTAAGAGCTCCGTTGCGACTTGAAACTGAGAGAGATTTTCTCAAATATTTATCATAAGTCACCCGTGATCTTTATATAAAAAAATGGATCGCAAAATGTGTTGGTAAGCGCATAACTTAACAACGCCTGGACCAATTTTGCTAAATCTTTTTTTGTTGTGTTTGTTACTGTCAGGAAAAGGTTCTTATAAAAGAAAATATTAGAAAAGTAGAGGGGAAGACTAGGAAAAAGTGACCCTTTGATAGCGAGATAGTTGGACCCGTGCGAAGCGGGGGCGGGCCGCTAGTTTTTAATAAATTCGATATAATAGCTATTGTGTTTGTTGGGAGGGAAAATTATCGTGATAAATTTTTAGATAATTATATAAATAGTAGTGGCTTCTCTGCTTCGTCTTATCGCTTATGTCAAAATCATTTGCAGATATGGCGAATTTTCATTTCCCACAATAACAAGACAACGAAATACATAAAAAAGGAAGATTTTTTCTTAAGTAGTTTAGAAGTTATACGCGTGAATATTATTTGTATTTATATTGCTAAAATTTTATCTTTACCCTTCGCTTCTATTGTTATCTAGTCTAAAGATAGGCACACAACCATAATAGCTACGTGTGTTAAAAAATTTACGCGAGAAGCTAGGACATTACATAAAGGGAAAGAACGAGAAATAATCAAAGAAAAAATTGTATGACACGAATTTATCAAATAAGTCGATATAATTGAATCGTCTACATCACGTCGTTTGAGCAAATGTATTGTTTAAACATTCATTTTCCCTTCAATTGCGAAGGAAAATTACACATCCATTGTTAATGTTATATACAGTCTATATTTGCCTAAAACAAATTCCCCATGCAACGCTCTTGTAAATGCTCTGCTGTTGATCTAGTGTTGTCCAAGGGCGGCTCCGATTTTTTACCTCCGGTTGATAATGTCTCAATTTTATTATTGTACGGGGTATGTTTATTATTAAATCAATAAAAATGGTTTTTAATTATAATTTTGGTCATAAATGGTTGAGTTGAGTAGAGATTTGATTAAACTTTTCTTTTTTCTTTTTAATATGAATTGTTTGTTGGTTTACGGATGTGCTCTTTAAGGTTCAGCTTCTTAAGCAATCTACTTGAAATTTTGCATACATTCTCACATTATTTAAACACCGTTAAATAGAGAAGGAATGCGTCATGAGGAAACTTGGACTTATAAATTCAAGTTATACGTTTGGAATTACCAATCCACCGTGATAAATGCTCAAACCTTCTATGTGAAAAGAGGCATTTGATCACCAGTGGTTACTTATAGGCTGATGATAATGACAAAGCACGAAATAGGCTTTTCGCTGGTAAGGTCGTGGGTAGTAACGAGTCTATTTTTTTTTTGAAAATATTTTTATACACATTTTCGGGAACCATTCGCTTAATTCAATTTTGATTGCTTCATTCCTACTTATTTTCTAAGGCATATCCTCTTGATTAGATGTACACCTACTAATACAGTTCATCAAACTTTTTATACCTATTCCTAGTATTCTAGTCTCGAAGTTACGAAGGTAGCTAATTCTATTGAATTCTCGGAATAATTTACTTTTTCAAGTAATGTCACAACCTAATTATCTTCAAAAAGTTTTGTGCAGTAATTACATCTCTTCTTTGTGATATGATAAATCAAATTTATTTATGTACCTAATACGTATTATAATAAACTAGCTACTCTTGCGCGGTTTCACCCGCTGCTCGGCTCCATTTGATCGTGATGTGTCGCGATAGCGTGATGTTTTATAGCCTATAGCACTCAGGAATATTGTAGCTATCTCAGTTAAAGAATTTTCACAATCCGACCAGCGGTTCCAAAGATTACCCCCTACATAGAAACTTACAAACTTACAAATTTTACCTCTTTATAATATTAGTAGGTATATTAAAAAAAGTTTACTATAATAATATATACATAGATGTTACGATAAAATATCGGCTATCGAGGTTCTGACAAATGACAGACACCATTAAGTATATTAAAAAAAGTTTACTATAATCATAATATTCACTGAGAAGATCATAATGTTCAAGATGATATACTATCATCATAATAATTAAATTATTAAAATAATATTACTTTCTTTTTATGGAAAAAATAACGCCTTCCAATTTCAAAATCTATTAGATTCCAACATTCAAACAAAGGGAAAACGACTTATCTTCGGATCTCCAAAGAGGATGATAATGACAGAAACGATTTATTGGGCTTTCATAGATGTCACGATTATTTGAATAAAGAAGAGTAATGGGCATATCTTAAGATAGATAATTATGAAATGTCTAAACATTTTTTGGTAAATCTAAGTATTTTTTTGGCCTCAAAATGTAGTTATAATAATTTTAAAGGGATTCGATTCCTAACAATTTATAGATTCGATATTTGTCTTCTTCTTCGAATTTAGGCGTGAAGAAAAGGCAGGCAGACAGACAGACTTACTTTCGCATTTATAATATTAGTTTGGATATTTGTCAACATTCGCAAAACTTTTATAATAAAGGACAAACTACATTTTTTTTAACTGATAAGACAGTAAACGGTTTACTCGACGGTAAGCAATCGATGCAAATCAAAAAACAAATGGGCCTCTGTTAATTTCACTCCCATGGCGAAACAAAACGCATGGTTGTTTCACACTGATTTTGACCGTAGACCGTAGTTTTACTCTGGCCAAGCCGACCGGATTAGGCACACATAGCCCCTAATTTTACGTATATACGAATAGACAGAAAAACAAACGGGACTTGTGAATCAAAATTCGAATAAAATCAAACTGGATGTGAATGCAAATGGATGTTTCATATTATCATAGTGTATTTATTCGAATTTCAAATTAGGTACATATTGATTGAGTCGCCGAAAAAGAGGCAACAAGTGCAGTGAACCTAGAAACAAGACTTTACTTTAATTATTATGTTTTCACAAGCGACGCGGCGACTGTCGCGGAATGCTGCTCATGAATATGGGCCTATAGCATGGCTTGAAACTAGACGAGTATCTCGTCAAATTATTTCGAGTGTAAGCCGAAAACATAATAATTAATTTAGAATGTCTCACGAAAGTTATAATAAAAAGACTTTACTTTTTTTAAAAGATGACTAACTCACTTTAATGTTGTTTGTCATTGGCACTGATTACTCAAAATTTGGTGATTCCTTTATTCTTCAATCTTCTTCCAAATCTCATAAACTATAATATTAATTCTTATTTTTTAAAAATCCGATCAAACTTCTCTGTTTAGTCTTTTATTGTATTAGGTATTTAGTTCTCTCACCTATTTATTTATTATATTTTTACCACTGAATACGGTTTCGTGATATATAGGCTTATTACATAAGCAAGTAGGTGATTGTTTACATTATCCATAGATACATCTTATATTGACTTCACGGTTATAGATTTTACAGACATATTTATGATAGAATCCATTTGAGACGCTACGTTTTATAGGTTCCACTTACCCATTCCGATTTTATAGACACAAGTATTTTACAACCAATCAAAATACTTATAGAGTGTGAAATATTCTCTCAGAGAATTTAAGACATAAAATACACTTCGACCTAGTGTGTGTGTGTGTTGGCGATTTTATGAACTATATTCGTGAAAACTGTGGAACATCTTTTTTCGTAACGATTCCGATATATTTTTTAATACAAAGGAAAACATTTCGTATTCATTGAATTCACTTAGCTAGTTGATCCGTTCTTGGAACTTAGGATAATATTCATCCAAATTAATGCGTCCGTAAATAACATTTTCAATACCATTACCAAAGATGTCGATTACTGTCTACAAACTTTTGCCATTACAGCCATAATAAATGTTATTTCTCTTGTTTCAGATTTCAATCATCAATCAAGAATGATCGACCAGATATAAAAAACAATGATCAATTATCATCAACAATCGATTGATTGTTACGAACAAATTCAAGAAAAAGACAATTTTTCAACAGTATGAGAAAAACTGAGCTTCACATAGATATAACAAGCATAATAAAAGTTACCAAATATGATAGCAAAACCAAACCTAAATGGTTTATGATGACAATTTAAGACAAGAAGGAATTATGCCGACCGACCTATGGACAACCGATAATCCAACCGTCAATGCCACAGTCAGCGCAATCAACGATGAGTACCAAAATATTACAACGACTGACCCGATTGAAGACAAAGCGATTCAAGCAGCTTTTTGTACAGCATACACCATTATTTTTGTTGTAGGAATCTTTGGAAATGCACTAGTGTGTTACGCAGTTATCAGGAACAGGGCTATGCAAACCGTCACTAATCTCTTCATCACGAACCTAGCACTCTCTGATATACTACTCTGCGTATTTGCAGTACCATTTACACCACTTTACACTTTCCTCGGTAGATGGGTATTCGGTGGACCTCTGTGCCATATTATGCCTTATGCACAAGGATGCAGTGTCTATATTTCAACTTTAACTTTAACATCAATAGCTATAGATAGATTCTTCGTCATCATATACCCTTTCAAACCTCGCATGAAGATCCAAACCTGTATCTGTTTGATTGTTTTCATCTGGGTGTTCTCTCTGTCTGTGACCTTTCCTTATGGATATTACATGGCCCTCCAAGATGTGTACTGCGCAGAAAAATGGCCGTCAGATCAAATCCGCAAGGCCTTCGGCGCAGTTACTACAATAATGCAGTTTGTAGTCCCGTTCATTGTTATGGCTTTTTGCTATACATGTGTTAGTATAAAATTGAATGATAGATTAAAGTCGAGACCCGGGAGTAAGAATAGTAAGAAGGAAGATGCAGAGAGAGAAAGAAAGAGACGAACAAACAGAATGTTGATAGCGATGGTGGCCATTTTCGGGTTGTCATGGCTACCGCTGAACCTAATTAATATAAGTAGTGACTTTTATTCATTGGCAGAAGACTGGAGGTATTACATGGTGTTATTTTTCGTTGCGCACTTCATAGCTATGTCTTCCACTTGTTACAATCCGTTCCTCTACGCGTGGTTGAACGAGAACTTCAGAAAGGAGTTCATGCAGATACTGCCGTGTTTAGGAGCGTTGGTCACTAAGAGGGCTAAGAGGAAATTCAACCAATCAGAGAGGACAGGTATGTTTCGCTCAGAGAAAACTTGTAACGGTAACGAAACCGTGCAAGAGTCACTCTTAACTTCTACTGTTAGTAAGATCCCCTCAGTTAGGTATAAAATAGAATTCAATGATAAATTAAAGGTGTATGAAGATGATGGCGTAGAAAATATAAGTCCAGATGAGAAGCCAGAGGACAACCCGAGTCCTAACGAAGACTGTGTTAATATGTATATGTTTGTAGATAAAACTGTAAATACTTCGGATAAGGAACCTATCGTGTCTGCGCTGTAAATATAGTGGTAAGTTGAAACGCCATTTAAATCAAAAACGCTTGAAATCATCCTAAAACGATAACAATAAATTAGTTTTAAAATAAACTATTTGCTTCTGTCCAACATAAAATTGAACATTTAAATTCACCTGGTAAATGAAAGCCTAGCGAGCTGTAAAATTACACTCCAAATGAATTATCTTAATTGAAATTCTAAACAAATTCATTAATTGCACTGTTCGCAGCAACTCGTACATAAATCAATGATGACAAACAAAACCCATTAAGTTGGCTAAAATCACATTATTGTTCGTAATGTTTTATTATTATTTTGCTTTGAGATTAAAGACAAAAGTCTATACATTTTGTATTTACTTAAAAGTAACTACAAAATGTATAGACAATAAGCCAAGTAGAGCAAAATTCACATATGAGGGTTTCAATGAAACTGAATAAATAAAAGAAGAAAAAGGTTATTCATCAAATAAAATTTTTGTTTTTTGTGACGTACAAGTCATAACCTTTCATTTGATACCCCACTTGAGCATATTTGCAGACATTCGGTTTTTCTTCCCCACTTTAACCCCCCATAACTTTAAAAAGGCTCAATCGATTTTCATCAAACATGTCTAAGAACACTTGCCCGTAAAACACCTGTAATACAAAAACACTAAATTGAAATCAGTTCACTCGTTCAAGAGCTATGATGCCACAGACAGACAGACAGACACGTCAAACTTATAACACCCCTCTTTTTGCGTCTGGGGTTAAATAGTGCTTGAGAAAATTTAATATTGTTATTGTTAAAGAAAATGTTATCCCACACTAGGATTATCTCCTCTGTCATGGGTGTCTTTACATAGGTACACATAATTAAACATACACAAGACACCCAGACAAGAAACAACAATTTGTGGATTACACAAAGAATTGTTACGTGCTAGAAAGCAAACCCGCGACACATTGCACTGCAGACGGTCGCCCAGCCACCACGGTAACCATGCAGTTAGAGTAGGAACAATATAATATTGCACTTTTATTTAAAAACATATGTGCATTGTATGGACAAAATAGAACTAATATTAGAGAAACTACTTCTATTTTAGAATGGATACTAAAATGCACATAGAGAACATAGAATTCAATTGAACAGGTTGGCAAAATTGTTTTCCACGGTATTAAATAGTATGTTTCCATATTTCGCTTGCCACCTGCACTTGATAATCGAATTGTTATAGTTTTGCAAAGAATGAAATGTAGTTCATAGCGAATTCAGGTAGGTATAAATAGAATTTTCTTTTTATTTTTCTTTTTCTCGCTGTTTATAAAGCTACAATTTTTTTATTACTTGTTTCCTTGCACATTATTTTTGATTAAATACACCAAAACACTTCTCTTAATTTTTTTTACGTTACAGTGTATTGGCTAATCTTCTAGTCATCATCATCTATCTATAGGAGCCCACTGCTGAGCAAAAACCTTTTTTCATGCAGAGAAGTTTTGAGCATTATTCAACGCACTTGTTTTTAATATCCATATTTATATTTTTATTTCAATTTAAATTGTGAACTCAAAATTATTTGGTAATTTTCACAATTGGAGATTGAATTTTCGAAACAACGTTACATTTTTATTTTAACACTGTTACAAGTAATTTTATTTATTGTTGGCAACCGCGCTCTAGTTGACGGGGGGAGTAATTGTGAAGTTAAACGACAGCTGACAATTTGAAGGCTTCTTTCTTCAAATGTAGGTAGAGGAAGGGGAGAAAATGATTGGATATTTTTTGTAACATATCACTTATCGTTCTTGCGTGATTTTCTAATTTACCAGTTTTGGATAAAGTATATATTATCAAAATATATATAATTTCTAATTCAATCAACGATCAAACTTTGACTGTATTTTAAAGCAGACAATTTTGTTTTTTGTTTTTATTCCGGGTTTTAGGTAAAATTATGTAATAATTTATTATAAATAGATAGAACGAAGATATTTTTGAAATACACAACAAATGTTATTTTCGTAAATTGGTTGAAAGAGTTAGAATAAAGAAGTTCGAATATAGCTCGTACTAAATTTCTTGTTGCCAGTAAGAATATTTCAAAGAATTCATAAAAAATAACAGCTTTATAAAAATAAAATTCTTAACCGAATACCTCCCCGTATTCAGCTATAAAAATCTATTTTAAAATTCGAATAAAATTGAATTCTGATTCACGGTAGAAAGAAAAATATGACTAATGAAATAAAATTGTATCGTCGATGCCCACCGAAACTATCAGAAAAGCAACAAACCTTTATGGAGCAGTAAAATCGATTTTTATTTACAACTCGTTTATTTTCGTTGCTTTTTTACGATTTTCTTTAAACAATAGGTACGAGTTTTAAATAAAGATATTCGTTTCTGAATGACGTCACGGTGGTAGTAAAAGCATATAGACGTTCAATTAAACTTGTCTGTATGTTTGTTCATCCGCCAATTCGATACGTTATCTCAATTCTATTACGAATTCAAATCGTTTTATGTTAATTTAATTCATTGAAATGGCGGTAACAGTTTTACCGACTAAACATAGGTGAATACCAATTCATCAACAAACATTCGATTTTCGATTGACACGAATTTGTAAATATTAGCATCAAATAAGCACTATATTCATGAAGAACCGATGAACGTTCGAGTAGACGTGATCTACGAGTACAATGGAGACCACGACGTCTAGGAAAACATAGTGTAGGGCGCTCTCCAGCTAGGTGGACTGACGTCATTCGCAGGGTGGCTGGCAGTGGTCCGATGAGAAGAGCTGAACATTAAGCTCAGTGTAATTGGGGAATAAGGATGATGATGATGGTGATGACGAAGCACTATATTCTCGCATTCGTATTATAAATATGTTTACATGAGTAAAAGTCTTGTGATGGATAGACAATAAAAAAAAAAACCATAAAAAAAACATATATTTGAAAAACGATACCTACAATAGAATTTATTTACGAAAGAAAAACAAAGACAACGGTACATTTACTTACGTAGAATGAATTTTAACATTCCTTCCGTACCTATGTATTCTGTCACTTGTCAATCTATTCATACACGCACGATTAACAGCACTTTAAGCAAATACAGTACAGAGTTATACAAAACAAATATGTGTCTACTTTGGCGTGTAAGTGCATATATGTAAATGCTTTCACAGTTTTTATCTCACCTATTAAACCTCTTTAGAAAAAGGTTTCTTGAGTTATAGCGTAAGTTTTTTTTTATTTTTATTTTATTTTTTATTTAATAAGGTGCATCAACAATATACATAAAATCGTTTTCTTAATTTTATAACTGAGACAGAGTTCTTGTATGTATCTTTAACAGATGTACACATCACTTACCGTATGTAAACATAAACATTAAACTAAGGAAAATTACTAATACATTAAAATTTAAATAAAAATATCAACTTAATTAATAACGTGAATCAAGATTAAGATAAAAATAAAATAACATGAACCACGAAAACACAAAATTGAATTAAATCAATTCAAATCAAATTACTAAAAATATGAATCGGAAACAAAGACCTTTTTTTATATATTACGATATTTAAATACGCTCCTATCCAGTCCACCTGTAATGAGCTATGTAAAAAAAAAAAACAAAAAAAACAACATTCATCTTTTGGGCAGTCTGGTGGCAAAGGTATCACACAGAGTCCTTAGGTATATCAATATGATATTTGAAAATTATATGTAGGGAGGTTGTCATCTACAATACCATATCATGGTGCCATCCACCTAGAATGGTGGTGGAACTGAAAAGTGGCTTATGGAACTTATGTATAGAGTTTAGCCTCATACTATACTTCCATTTCTGAGGCTGGTGGGGGTTTTTGTATAAAGCTTGTTTGTTGATACATTTTTTGACGGCGAATTAATTCATTTCATTACACCAACTGCTGGCGTCTTCTATACTTCACACTGAGCAAGGACCTTAGGATTGTAATTTAAAAAGTTAAATTAAGGAAGGAAAAGGGAAAGAATTGGGCCTCCGGTAATCTCACTTACACGGCGAAATACAACGCTGTGCCGGCTTTCGCGCCGGTTTTCTGTAAAGGCACATCACTCCAGACGACCCATTCGTGCTGAAGCATGGCTCTCCCACACTTAAAGAATTATTTATAAGTACCCATATCTTAAAAACGAAGTCCTTTTACTTGACACTTCATTTACATACAAGTTCGGTGGAGTATTGGCTTAAGTTGTCACCCATGTGTGCAAGAAGAAGGTAACGCAATAACGTCAGCCTGTCGTAAACTCATTGGGGCGTACTCTGCTGTACAGTCATTGAAAAAAGTGCAGTGATTAGGTTAGAATTTGTCGAGGTTGGTTAAGATTCGTTGCGAAGTTTGTAGGTTGAAACGCAAGGACTACCTCGTTGGTTGAGTGCTAGCACAGTAGTGGAAACTTTAGTTCATTTCTCTTACTATGTATTGTTTTAGGTTTCATATGTGGTTGATTAAACTCACCTTCTGGATCGCACCATTTTTTTCGCCATAAGCTTAAGTTTACCGCAGGCAAACTCTTCTTTCCTCTTCCACAATCTCTAACTCTGAAACATTTATCTCCAAAAGGCCGGCAAAGAACTCGTTGCTCTTCTGTTCACCTCATTTCACGGCTCGTTTGCAGTGTACAATAAAAAAAGAACAAGAAACTCCATCATCAGTGAAGGGAGCTGTAGTTAAATGGAGTGTAGTTAATAAATAGCAAAATGTAGGAATGGAGTGTAGTTAATAAATAGCGATGGATTGCTGCAATTATATTCGTCACATGATACTCACAAATTTAAATTGTAAACAGATCTTCACTATAGATTAACACGCATTGGTAACGCAGTACCACCACCAGTACCACCTTCTTGACACTAGCATACAGCAACTTGTGCTAGCAGAAAACAAAGAACAGTTTACATAAACCTATCAACTTCACATTCATTGAAAAAGAGTAACCATGGAGTTTCTTGCTCGTTCTTCTCCA